GTTGTTGTTGTGAGTGGCCAGGCAGCGAGGGGCGATGAATGAGAGCGGTGCCACGCGTAAGCCCCTAGATGGCGATGTAGGGCAGCGGGAGCAATGAAATCGGAATGGGGAAAGGGACACCAGAGCCCTTGAAATGGGGAAATGAATATTCATTGTAGACCAACCCACTTGTCCAGCAGAAACTCACAAAATCTTTGTATTTGGCGGGTTCCCTCGGGCCCCAATGTCTCAGAGCTGCTGCATTGCAAAATTCCAACAGAGTTATGGAGTATTTACAGCGTGGAAAGAGTCCCATGGTCCATCTATTCTTATCCCTTTTCCCAACAATTGGCCCATATCTTGTTTCTCCAAGAGATATCTAGTGTTCATCCAAATTTTTCTTAAATATCTTGAGGGTTCCTACCTCTACCAGCCCATAGCCCTCCGCATGTTAAAAGTATTTCCCTCAAAAATGCCAGCTCCTCACCCTAAAACTGTGCTCCCTCCACCCACTTACTGAAGCCTCCACGAAAGGGAAACGTTTCGAGAGCTGATCCCAGGGGCACAATTCCCAGCCAGTAATATTTCTCCTCAGGAATAGTTCTCCAGTGACTTCCTCACTGACTATTTTTTATTTAAGAATTATACTTTATTTGTAAAAACATATCTTTACATATACATAGTCACAAACGCAGTTCATTTCTGTCCAGCAGCCTACAAAGAAAACAAGCAAACATTTTCAGAAGAAGGGTAGACCCGAAATGTCAGCTTTCCTGCTCCTCTGATGCTGCTTGGCCTGCTGTGTTCATCCAGCTCTACACCTTGTTATATAAGCAAACATTTGAGTTTGGCTCTATCCAAACAAACCAAAGGCATTTGTTACTTGTACAAGATTATATTTTCATGCATTTGAGGTACCAGAAGGGTCCGATAACTGAATGGACCCCATTTACCTACAACAGGAAGACCTCAGACAGTGGTCTTTCCCCACTGCCCCTTGGTGGCAGCTGTCCCAAGCTTTAGTGAGTCCCTCAGCACATAGTCCTGGACCTTGGAATGTGCCAGTCTGCAACACTCAGTTGGAGTAACCAGCAAGTTTCGAAATACCAAAGAGGGTCTTTCACTGAACTGATGGTCCTCCAGGTGCAACTGATGTTTGTCTCAGTGTGTGTCCTGGGGAACAGACTGTAGAGCACAGAGTCCCACGTCATGGAGCTGCTCGGGATGACCTTTGACACGAACCACTGCATCTCCTTCCAGACTTCCTTTATAAAGGCACATTCCAGAAGGAGATAGTAGGAACTGCCGATGCTGGAGAATCTGGGATAACAAGGTGTAGAGTTGGATGAACACAGCAGGCCAAGCAGCATCAGAGGAGCAGGAAAGCTGACACTTCGGGTCTGGACCCTTCTAAAGCAGGTCCAGATCCGAAATAGTAGGAACTGCAGCTGCTGGAGAATCCGAGACAACAAGGTGCAGAGCTGGATAAACACAGCAGGCCAAGCAGCATCATAGGAGCAGAATTTTGCTTGGCCTGCTGTGTTCATCCAGCCTGCACCTTGTTGTCCCAGATCCGAAATGTCAGCCTTCCTGCATGTCTGATTCTGCTTGGCCTGCTGTGTTCATCCAGCTCTACACCTTGTTATCTCAGACACTCCAGCATCTGCAGTTCCTACTATCTCTGGCCTGTTATTGCATTACTGCTCGTGGGAGCCTGCTGTGTACAAATAGGGTCCAGCATTTCAGCATGACAAGATGACAGATATACTACATTGGCTTCAATTCGCAACTGGACACTTCCTGGACCACTACGCGAACGCAGGACTTTCTCCCTTCCAGTGTACTTTAATAGGAACCCGTCACGACCAATGCACAGGGACAGCACTGAGTGTACTCTCTAAAAGGTGCGCAGCAGCAACAGTACCTTCCAAAACCCCAACCCCTACCAAATCAGAGGGCAAAGGAGCAGACATATGGCAACACCACCTCCTACCAGTTCGCATGCGAGTCACTCGCCATCCTGGCTTGAAAATATATCACAGGTACAACCTTCTGCCTGCACTGTCCTTACAGTCTGTAATCTCCGGCTTTTTCCACTGGAAACCTGACCTCAAACCACAAACCTCTGGCGTCATGGGCACATGGAGATCCTGGGGGAAGAGAAAACACGTTCCTGATGTAGATAGGTATCCGTGGAATGTCACCATAGCAACCTATGATAACAAACTCTCTGCTAAAACAGGCACTCCCAATCCAGGTGTGTCATCTATTGGAGAGTTAGTGAGACGTGGTGGAACACCCCTTCTACAATACAGCCAGGGCAGTGGGTCAGATACTATCCATTACCCCCATCCCAGGACTGGGTGGAACAGTGGGTCAGAGACTGTCCTCTACCCTCCACTTCCCTCTGGGACTGGGTGGGACAGTGGGTCAGAGACTGTCCTCTTCCCCAATCTTCCCTCTGGGACTGGGTGGGACAGTGGGTCAGAGACTGTCCTCTACCACCCCTTCCCTCTGGGACTGGGTGGGGACATTTTGATGCTGGGAACTGAAGCCTGGGATGTGGGGGTAGGAGCTGACGATGCAGTTTGGGATCTATTCTGGGCCTGTGCAGAGTTGGCTAATCTTCTAGCAGCAGTTCCAGAGGCTAAAGTAAGGAAACCATTGAACAAGAACACAGACCAGCCAAAACGTTAGGATTTAGGTGCAGTTACGGCACTGAAGGACAACATTCGCCCTGTCCAGTTCTTGCCAGCAGCTGGCACAATGATCCCGTCAGTCTCATGCCCCTACTTTGATCTTTGTTACCCTCCTGGCCTAGAGGTAGGGACGCTACCATTGTACCACAGAAGGCTTCTTTCCCCTCCAAGTCCCCACCCAATTTTCTGTCAAAAATCATTCATTGCGCCCACTTCCATCACTGCCTCAAGGGCAAAGGATTCCAGGCCATTACCTTTCACTGGGTCTGTCAAAACAATTTCTCCCTCATAAGCACCCTGAACATCTTTGCAATAGATATCAGTGATTGGGCACAGCTCTGCCACATCCAAAACCTGTTGTTACTGTGCACTCTTCCATCAATAATTAAAAAACAAAGAAATCATCCATCAGCTTTTCAATTTGATATATTACAGTCACATGTGCCTACATAGTGAGAAATGTTGTTTTGCACGGTCTACGGGCAGACCGTACCATACAAAGTACAACAGGGAAACAGAAAATAGCGTTACAGCCACAGAGAGAGCACAAGACAGTGTGGCAAGATCAAGGTTAAACATTTGAGAGGCCTGTTCAAAACCTTGATAACAGCAGGGAAGATAAGAACCACCCTGCTTTTTAACCAAAATCCCTGTCTGGTAATTCCCTCTGCCCTTTCTCAAGTATGGTGGAGGTACCGGTGTTGGACTGGGCTGGTCAAAGTCAGAGTTCACACAACAGCAGGTTATAGTCCAACAGCTTTACTTAAAATCATGAACTTTCAGAGCACCTGACTATAACTGATTAAGGAACAGCACTTTGAAAGCTTGTGATTTTAAGTAAAACTGTTGAACTACAACCTGGTGTCATGTGACTTCAGACTTTGACCACATAAAGTGTGGCAGAACTCAACCCAACAATACAGTTGGGGCCAAAACAGGGCTTTATGGAAAAGTTTCATAACTGCCCTGTCTTGATACACAATTCACTGCCATCCCTCTGCATTGTGCCCACTCCACCTCCCCTGCAACCATCCCTCTGCCACCTTCCTCTCCATTGTTACCTCCCCTCACTCCTCTCCCATCCTAGATAGTCCCTGGGCACTTTCCCATCCATGCACAAATCTGGCCATTTTAAAAACACCTCAAAACATTATCACACATTTGACGACAGGGCAAATGTTTGTGTTCTAGTCGCAGAATTTAGTCAAGAACAAACTCTTATTATACTTCTCAATGTAACACTATTTATTACACATTAAAAATCAAAACACTGCTGTACCAAGTGATCACTAGATATACCGAGCTCTGACTTAGAGTGAGATTGTCCTTACATAGCACCATAGAAAATAGCAATGAGAGCAGGCCACTGCGGCTTCAAACCTGTGTCCCTGTTCACTACAATTATGGCTGATCCTTAGGAACAGGTTAATGCATTATTTCTCCCAAAACTCTTTAATGCCTTCAGCCCCAAGAGCTATCTTTCTTTTCTTGAAAAGAGAAAATGTTTTGCCTTTAACCACTTTGTAATGGGCAATTTCACAGGCTCCCCACTCTCTGGGTGAAGACATTTCTCCTCATCTCAGTCCTAAATGGCCCACCCCCAATCCTTAGGCCGAGACCCCTGGTTCCAGACTCCCCAGTCATTGGGAACATCCTTCCTCCCAGTCTAGTCCTGATAGAATTCATGGGTTTCTGGGAGATTTCTCAGCATTCCCCCCTCCAACCAATTCCACTAAACCATAGCAAATATATCAGAATCATACAATCCCTGCAGTGTGGAAGCAGGTCATTCGGCCCATCGAGTCTACAGCAACCCTCAGAAGAGCATCCCAGCCAAACACACACCCCTCCCCCACCACCCTATCCCTAACAGACCCAGTCTGCACATTCCCAGGGACTATGGGCAATTTCCCATGGCCAATCCACCTAACCTTTACATGTTTGAACTGTGGGAGGAAACTGGAGCACCCGGAGGAAACCCACGCAGGCACAGGGAGAACTTGCAAACTCCACGCAGACAGTCGCGCAAGGGTAGAATCAAACTCAGGTCCTGAGCGCTGAGGTAGCACTGCTGACCACTGAGTGACCGTACTGAATCAGTTTCTTTTCATATGTCAATCCTGCCAGGCCAGGAATCAGTCTGGTGCACCTTTGTGTGAACATGTCAGATTGTAGTCGGATGTAGGTTATACTAACTCCACCCAAACGGTGCTATTTACACCCAGTGACATACACTTCGATGATCTTGTCACGAGGTTGCCTTGGGGTCCTGAAGCCTATGCACCTCAGATCTGATGGTTAATGCAAAAGAAATAACAGCACTTCCTTTTAAAAAAAATTTTATTGAAAATTATCCACTGTAAAAAATAGACAATCCCACTTTTGTACAAATTTCAATCATGAACACTGTACAGAAACACCTTGAAATATTCATTGATAAATCCAGACAGTAAGCTCGAGACCGCATCTCCCGAACAGCTTTAATATAAAATACATGCTGTTTAAAAAGGGACCACTATCTCCCTAAGAAAAAGGATCCCCAGCAAACACACTTTGAAGTGGAAAGAAAAAAATACAGGCACAAATTGCTCAGAAACTCGTCATATTATTTGTGCAAGACGAAATAACACTGGATGATTCCCAGAAATTTTCACTCCAGCCACCTCCTCAAAAAAAAAAGGGAAATCCTTCTGTGCTTTCTTACAGAAAATTCCACAGAATGGCACCTTCCCTGTTGCTAATGGGGAGGTCATAAAAAAAAAATCTAACAGGCTCAATTATCATCTTTCACTTAAATCACATGACTTTTAGGCTGATTTATAAATACATTTAATACTGATCCCACCTTCCAGGTATTAAATATTTGGGAGCACAGTGGGGGAGGGAACAGCATGGATTGGAACTCCACACTACAGAACGCACAGGGGAGCTCAACTAAGCCAGGAAGGATATTAGCCCAGTTACCTCGCTCCTCCTGTTCTGTTTGGGGGGGAAAAAATCATTACCAAAAGAATTACTAAAAATTGGATTTCTCTTTAAAAGAAGCTTAAATATTGGGGGAAAAAAAAAAATCACAACACTGAACCACACTCCATGTCACCATATCGTTGCAAATTTGAAAATAAATGTACTTTTAAATTCTTTGACATCCAAGATGGAAAGTCCAATGCCCAGAGCTTGGTCTAACAAAACGCCTTCTCATCATCTTTTAATAGATAATTGGTTGGTACAAAACTTCAAAAGAAATGGACGACTGGGTGGGAGGGTTAGAAATGGGAGCTCGCCCATCTTCCTTTCTGTTTCATAGTTCCCAGACTGTGTGGGTGACACACCCTCAAGAGGATTAGATCACATTGTACATTCTCCCTTCACCCTTCCAAGGTCCTGCTCCATCAAAAGCTGTTACACCTGAAGCCTGAGGTTTGGGGGAGGGGGGGGGAAGATTGGGTGGAAATCATAGGATCTGAAAGAAGGGTCACAAACCCTCCAGGATTGAGGCTCCAGGAATTGTAGACGGAAAGAAAAATCCAAGGGAAATCTACAAGTTCGCCACAAAAACAAAGAAGCAAACTGTACTTCCTTCCTCATTTCCTCGAGGCCTGGTTTGCAAATTAGTGCTAAAGATATGGGTGACAGGAAGTGAAGGAGGAGGGAGATAAGAGGCAACTGGAATATATATCCAAATGAAATCCTAAATATTGGGATGCCAGTGTTAAACACAATTACTAACTTTTTAAAACTACCGCAGTTTGAAAACGTCCTCCCTGCTACAAAATCTGAACGGGGTTGAGGTAGTTCAGAGTGACACACTCCACCTCATTGGGACTCCATTTCCCCCCTGCAATACGACCCAAGACATAATGGCCATTTGCGAGCAGGAGTCTTGAATCATGCAGGAGGTCCCCTGAAAAAAAAATAGAAGCCAAGTATGCACTACCCTTGGCCAACACAGCTAAGGAAAAGTCATTGGGGTGCATTAGAGAGAGAGAGAGAAAAGCTGCTTTTGTCCCCCTTTCATTTTCCTTCACCATGTCTAGAGCTGTTCAAGGAACAGATGGAAATTTTGCTCAAAAAACGAGAGAGGAATACACAACATATTAACTGTCACCCATTTACAGGCAAAATCCCTGCAACCATTTAGGGACAACTGCCTAACATCCATTTTCCCCACACTCCTGAACAAGCAGACTCAATTTTTTTAAAAAAATTAAATTGACCGATCTGAGTCAATTCTCTTGCAAAAGAAAAGCATGTGGTTCATTTATCAAACCCCACATTCAGGACTTAAAAATGATTCCCTCCGCTAGATCTCATTAAAACTCAATAAATAGAAGGCCATGATTAATGATCATCGCCGAGCTACAGGGCTAAACCTAGACAAAACATCATGTGCCATTTACTAACATGTACAACCATTAATACTCAGTCATTAATTAATATTCAGCGAGAGGCTTCCCAGGACTGGATCCCAGTTCACAATTCCAGGCTCTTCCCTCACCCCCACGACGTCCTGGCTTAACCCAAGGCCATTCCACTTCTTTCCAATGCGTCCTCTCAATAAGAATTATCTCTCTTTTCGAAAAGAAATACAGGCATCGATCTTTTCCCTGGTTAGAAAACGCCCATCCCGGTTTTCCCAGCCGGGAATTCCCGATTCTTCAAAACATGCTATCCGGGAAGAGCAACGAGACGAGACAAGCAGAACAACACGAAGAGAGAGGGGAAAATTGGGAATCGGCTGTCTGGAGTCAGTTCAGCGACTCTCGATGACGACAGGCTTGTAGTCACACCATCTGCAAGACAGAGGGGGAAAAGCCATTAGCATGGAAAACGTGGCCCGTTTCCCCAAAGGCAAACCCACTCGCTACCTCCATCTCGAAGCATGGCCGCGGCTCCGATTTTCAAGTCATCGGGAATTCTCACGGGAACGTTCCCAGGAGGAGAAAAAGCAGTAAAACGGGAATGAGGTTGAGGCAGTGACCTTAGAGACATTTATAACATCACGAGGGGCATAGATAAGGTGAATAGCCAAGGAACTATTCCCCAGGGAGGAGAGTCCAAACCTAGGGAGAAGTGTAGGTTTAAGGAGAGATGGAAAAAGATTTAAAAACGGGACCCGAGGTGCAACATTTTCACGCGGAGGATGGTTCGTATATGAAATGAACTGTCAGAGGAAGCGGTAGATTACATTTAAAAAGTCAACATTTACAATTCTCCTGAAGAAGGGTCTAGGTCCGAAACGTCAGCCTTCCTGCTCCTCCGATGCTGCTTGGCCTGCTGTGCTCATCCAGCTCTACACCTTGTTATCTCAAAGCTGTGCAGCTTAGGTGGATTGGCCATGCTAAATTGCCTGTAGTGCAGAGGTGGGGAATGGGGTTGGGTCTGGGTGGGATACTCCTAGGGTCAGTGTGGACTAGTTAAGCTGAAAGGCCTGTTTCCACACTGTAGGGAATCTATGATGATGGTCGATAGTGTCAAGACCCTGGGAGTCACAATCACTAATCTGCCTTGGTCCACCCACATTGATGCAACAGCCAAAAAGGCACAACACCTCTACTTCCTTGGGAGGCTACAGAAATTCGGCATGTCTACAAGGTCTCAATTTTTATAGATGCACCATAGAAAGCATCCTAACTAGATGCTTCACAGTGTGGCATGGCAATTGCTCTGCCTAGGACCATAAGAAACTACAGAGAGTCACAAACACAGTCTATTCCAACAAACAATCTAACCTTCCATCCATGGACTCTATCTATACTTCCCACTGCATCGGGAAAGTGACCAACATAATCAAAGAGCACCGC